TTATATGTTTGTATTTAAACTATTTTAAATTTCTCGCTCGTTACATTTATATTAATATTTTTTGAGATCTCTATATAATTGAATATTGAAATTTTCAGCTCCCAATAATGTTTTGGCGAATTTTCTAAATATTTTTACATTTTTCTTTTGGCACGTACTAACTCTCACATTTTAAAATGTTTACCAGAATTCAAAAATTAATTCTTGTAATTCTAAGCAGTTCTTCTTTTACCATTATTTCAACAATTGTTTATAAAATAGCACTCTTTTTATTAGATTTAATACCGATAAAACATTCATTTAAAACAATTTTAATATACCTAGGGTATGCTATATCACATCACACTGTGAAAACCTTGCGCTCTGTCACTTCATTGTTGTTAACATTTCAAAAGTCACATTGAAGACACGTTCCACTCGAGAAGTGAACAAAAACTGATTAGGTCAACTTTCAATGCGTTATCAAAATGAAAAACTTAATTTTTCAGCTGATTAGCGGTAATCCAGCCTATCTACGACCTCCGATGCGTTGTCGTTGAATGGCGACATTACCTTTAATACTTATTTGCACATTAATAAGTTTTTGCTACGCTAATGGGTAATAGGGGGACGATGTCTATCACTCTTCACTTGTTTCTTCTGTTTAAACAATTTCCCATGCCTGTGCTCCGTTTTATTATTGATTATCATTGCACATTAGATTTTTTTTCTGTCATTGCTAATAGGCTCGCCCAGCTTATAGATACGCCCACTGCGAAACCTTGTCATATTTATTTCGGGCTCAAGCAACAGTTGCAATTTATTGACAAAACAAACCACGAGCAAACAAACAGAAACAGACGACAAAAACAAATATAGCCAGAAGATATAGTAGCGCGCACTTTTTTCGATATATAATGCCCGTTCAGACGGATTTTCGCAGCTCAGGAAAACCATTTGGCCATTTGCTGCCTGATAAATTGAATTATATGTGCTCAAAGCCAGACGGCCATAAAAATAGCCCGCAAGCAAGAGCCACTCGAAATTCGAACTCGAAATTTACGATACTTAAGATCGCAACTGTTATACCGAACGCCATAGTTGTTCCACCATTGTGTTTGCTACGATTTGATTCGATATGAGCCAATTAAAGACCTATGCAAATTGCATGCATAGGAAATAACGTATCGAATTGCAAATTGAAAAATAATGGGAAATTTAGCATATCATTCATAAATCTCAAATGTACTAGAGCCAATCTGTTTCTTTCCCTTTGTTGACTCTACTTGAAATAATTTGTATAAGCACGCACCTAAGACTGTGCAAAACAAATTTGTTGATGTCATCAGCCTAGATTGCTTTTTAGCCAGTCTCTGTCATATAAATACAAATTAGGTATTTCCATTTCCAAGAAATTTAATTACACTTTTTTACTATTGTGAACTTAAAGCCGATTCTACTTCATCTTTCTCGCTGCGAGCCCATTAAAACGGCGGAAAAACATATTATTTTTTGTTTAATTGTCGAATTTGCTTTGATCAACGAGCATGAACAAAAAGCGAGTACTTGATAATAATGGGAATTTCGAGGCATACAAATAAGAAGTAGAAAACAATTTGTTAGCAAGTTGATATCAAATTAAAAAAGAATTAATATGCAAATTAATCTCAGGAAGTAATGAGTGTTGGATACAAAATAATATTATAATTAGTATATATGTATGTATATA